GACGTTCGTTCGACGTCGAAATGCCCACTGGGTATCTAATAGAAAACAATATATTTTATTTGGCAATAAAAAAGCTAACAATATGACAATTACTTGCGACGTTCCTCAAGGATCTATATTAGGACCACTTTTATTTTTAATCTATATTAATGATTTAAGCAAAGCTTCTAATATTCTAGATTCTATATTATTTGCTGATGACACAAATTTATTTTATTCTCATAGTGATTTAACAACATTATTTAAAACGGTCAACATTGAACTTCTAAAACTAACTGAATGGTTAAATATGAATAAACTTTCAATTAATTTAACTAAAACCAAATATACTATCTTTCATCGCCTCCATAAAAAAGATAAAATCCCTATTGCACTTCCAAAACTTATTATTGGAGAATACAACGTAAAAAGAGAATGTTCAATGAAATTTCTCGGTGTAATACAAGAAATTGGAAACACCACTTAAACATGATTGAAAATAAAATTTTTAAAAATACCGGATTACTCTATAAAGCAAAACCATACTTAGATCAATCATGTTTGAAATACATATATTACCCATTTATTCATTTCTATCTTAATTATGCAAACATTGCTTGGTGCAGCACCAATAAAACTAAGACAAAAAAGCTATTTAGAAAACAAAAACATGCAATCAGATTATTATTAAATGCACACCGCCTCTCACATTCTAGACCATTGTTCAACAATCTAGAAATATTAAATTTGTACCAATTAAATATATATCATCTAATTTTTATGTATAAAACTAATAATAATACAATACCAAATATCTTCAAACCATTATTTAATAAAATTCAACACAAATACATGACTAAATATTCAAATAACAACTTTGTTCAGCCCAAAACTATATATGAGTCCACCAAGTTATCAATAACTATTAGAGGACCATATGTATGGAATAAGTTAATTAGTAATGATATTAAAACACTTACAACTCTTAAACAGTTTAAACAAAAGCTAAAACTATTGCTTTTAAATAACAATCAAACAGAGAATTATTTTTAAATCTATTTTTAAAAATACTATATTTGAAAATTATCTATTAGTGCATACTTTATTTGTCTGGAAAGGAATAAAGTCTTTAATTATATCAATTGTATTATGAAAAAGTAATTATGGATTTACAGCATTTATGTACGAATGTGTGTGTATGTGTGCGCAAGTGTGTATATGTATACATGTATATTTGAATGTGTATATATATCTTTTGATTGTAAATTAACATAATATTTTCATTTTTTCATGTGTTCTTTTTTTTTGTTGTTGTTGTTGTTGTTGATTTTTGTTTTTTTGAATGAGTTATTAAATTTTCTCCCAAGGAATAACTTTGAAATTTGAATATAAATACTATTGCATTACTGTAGTTAAACATCATGTTATTGAGAACTTTTTAATTAATTAAAAATATTTCTAAACATTAATAATAACTTTGAAAGACTATTAAACTGTTTTGCATTTTGTATAAACTTCTTTGAAACATTTTGCTTTTTTCTCTCATTTTTAATTTTTAATATTAGTTACAACGTATTTATATAAATATCTTGAAAAAACAAGGGACTTGGTGATAAGGCAAACCTGTCTTCTTCTCGTCCTTGCCATTTATATATATATATATATATATATATATATACATATATATATATATATATATATATATATATATATATATATATATATATATATATATATATATATATATATATATATATATATATATATATATATATATATATATATATATATATATATATATATATATATATATATATATATATTATAATATATTATAAAACACGGAACTTGTAAATATTTGTAGGGCTAAATAAAATAAAAAGTTGCAAAATGTTATCAGAAACGTTGCCTCAATACTCTGTATTAATAAAAAAATTAAAACTATGCAATCTATCAACTAAAATATCTTTAAGATTTTATTCGTTATGATTAAATTTCGAAAACATTTGTTGGCAAATGTATTAAAAACTATATGAAACCTAAAAACAAATATAATCTTTGTATTAATAATAATCTTATTTTCCCTTTTCGCCATAAATAAAAAGTTTTTTGTTTCTCATTAAGGTTTTTATGTATGGAACAAAATAGATTTAGCAAGTTCAAACAGAAACTTAAAGTTGCAATTTTATATAAGTTTTACTAAGTTATATAAAATTTATTAGGTTGAGCTCAAGTGCTTTTTTCAGCAAAAACTGATGCTTTAGTTGATATTTTGTTTAAAAGTCGAATATATATATATATATATATATATATATATATATATATATATATATATATATATATATATATATATATATATATATATATATATATATTGATATTGGAAAGATTTTTTGATGCACTTTTTGATGAAATTAAAATATTTATTTTATAAGCAACCTCCAAGATAGAGTTGGCGTAAGAATAAAGTCAAAGTTTGTGTGTTTGCGCACCAAAACTATAGCTCGTTTTTTTTTTTTTTTTTTCTTTCAAGTTAGCGTGCAACTCACAAGTTAATAAACAAAAACAATTTTTACTGCTTTATAATAAAACATTGTTTTTTTTAATACAAAAACAAAAGTGTTAAGTTTGTCACGTACTTTATGTGCACATTTTGCAATGTGTTGAAAATGTCTCTCCGTTGTATTATACTCAGAGGCGATTTTACGAATAAAATGAGAGAGAGAGGGGGGAGGTGAATCCTTAAAAAGTACCTACTCATTCTTCTTTAAAAAAAAGGTTCTCAAAATTAAAATTTACGCGACTGAATTGTGTAAAATACCCGACCAGCCTACTTCGTAAAATAACCGACAACAAATAAACGGGGTGGAGAAGTTCTGATTTACGTTAAGTAACACATTTTACATAACATTAGGAAGGACATGTGCGTTTCTGACGGTGATAAAGAGATTGCAACTATTGAAATTTTAAACAATAACAAAAAAATGATTCTATTAAGCTGCTGTTATAGACCACCTGATGGTGAAAATATCTGAAAATATGATGAAATATTTATGGCAGGAGCTCTTCCTTTAATCAATCGCCCTACTAGAATAACCAAAACTTCAGCGACATTGATTGATAATATTTTTACAACAGAAATTTACAATAAGAAATTACAAAAAGGTATTGTAAAAACCGACATATCCGATCATTTCCCCATTTTTCTAACAATTCATACCATTGATAATATTTTTACAATAGAAATTTACAATAAGAAATTACAAAAAGGTATTGTAAAACCCGACATATCCGATCATTTCCCCATTTTTCTAACAATTCATACTGTATCCTCTAATAACCCCGAAAGACAAAATATAATAAAAAAACGTATGATCAACGGGAGTTATATAAAATCCTTCCAATATCAATTATCACTTCTGCATTGGAAACATATTAACTTTAATGATGACGCAAATATAATATATAATAAATTCTTTGATACGTTCTTCTCAATATACAATGCAAACTTCCCACTTTATGAAAAAATAATAAAAATAAAAACCAAGGATTACCAAAGGACTTTAAAAATCCTCTTAAACCAAACAGAAACTTAAAAAATTTAAAATATTTAAAAACAAAATCAGATGAAAACCAACAAATATATAAACATTTATTTGAAAAAATTCGTAAAAAACTAAAAAATAATAATAATTATTCAAATTTAATTAGTAAATTTAAAAACGACTCAAAAAATGCTTGGAGAACGTTGAAAGAAGTAACAGGAAAACAAAAAACAAATTCAAACTCTCTTCCTAAACTAATTAAAATAAATAAAACAAATATGTATGAACCAAACGAAATTGCAAACGAGTTTAATAAATATTTAATTGGTATAGGAACTAAATTGGCAAATAAGATTCCTATTACGGAAAAAACTTTTAGTGATTTCCTAGAGCTTATAAATAATTCGCCTTTTACAGATAATTTATATTCTGAAATATCTGAAATAAAAATTTGGCCATTATGGGGGGCAAAATCTTTACGCTATTTATCAAAACAAAAGGTTGTGTTTTGATCATATCCCATTCATAACGATTATTTTTATTTGCGTATTTTGCCGAACAACATTTAAATAAATTTACGGAGCAATATTAATAACAACACAACACACGTGCCTTGTTCGATGATATATTATTATCATCGAACAAAACAAATCATAATTTATTTTTATTTTTAAATTTTTATTTAGTCGAATATAATTTTCTGGTAAAAAAATAATAATAATAAATTTTAGGAAATAGACAAACAAAATAAAAAATAATAATAACAGTTAGACTTTTAAACAAATAAAAAAAATGTATTTAAAGTTTTGTAGGTAATTTTTATTTTTAAAAAATTGTGAAAAAGTTAAGAACCACAGAACAAAAAACGGTAATTTTTACCTAATACCGCGTAATTCTACCATGAATCTTAAGCACTCATTTATACGATTTGGCATTGAGTCTATTAAATTCTCTAAAATATGATTTGGAATATTTCTAAGAATTGTTGGTATAATATCGCGCAACTCCTCAAGGCTCCTTGGTGCTTTCTTGGCAATCTGTTTATCAAGCCAACTCCAAAGATTTTTAATACAATTTAGATCTGGACTATTTGGTGGCCAAGTTAGGCGCTCAATATTTTTGTTTTCGAACCATTCAGAGATAATTTTAGCCCGGTGGCATGGTGCATTATCTCGCTGAAAAATGAACGGAACGCTTTGCTCAAGTGCACCAATTGATGGTAACAAGTTATTATTTAAAATATCGACGTAATAAATAGAGTTGAGTCGACCATCAAATAATTTAAACATACCAAGACCATAATATGTCATGCAGCACCATAATCCGACCGACCCGCTACCTTGTTTTGTTCTTTGAACGATACAATCAAGATTATATTTTTCGGAAGGCTGCCTGCGAATCATAATTCGATTTTTTCGGTTCAACCTCGATATTCATCTCATCACTGAACATTGCTGTCCTCCGTTTTTCTTTAGACTATTCTTTGACACTTTGGCAAAATTCTTCTCGCTTTTTTATATGTTGTTTGTTAAGTCTCGGTTTTAGAACAGCTTTTTTCCATAGCATATTGTTAGCTATTAGTTTCCTACGCACAAGTGATGCTGATGCTTGACATCCATTTGAAAGTTTCCATTCCCTTCTCAATTCATGCGACGACATAGTTCGATTTTTCTTTGCTAACCTGATTAAAAGACGATCATCATTGGGTGTCGTCAAACGCGGTCTTCCAGAACGATGGCGATCAACGTAAGATTTCGTCTCTCTGAATCTTTTAATGATTCTTAGCACCAAACTATGTGATCGTTTTATTATTCTTCCAATTTCACGAGCGGTTTTACCTTCCTGGTGATAATGCATTACTTTTACTCGATCTTCATAGGTAATAGCTTTTCTGCTCATTTTTTCAAAAAAAGAGAGTTTTTTTTGTTTGAAATTAAATACTTTTTTTTAATACTTTTGTTTTTTTGTTAATGACTCAGGTCATTAATAAAATATTTAATTAAAAAAGGTAAAAATCAATTAAAAAAAAGCCGTTTCCACCGCATTTACCACTTGTGAAAAAGTTAAGATTCCTTGTGATTCTTAACTTTTTCACAAAAAAAATATTCAAAAAAAAATTAATACATAATATTTAACCCTTATTTTTATAGGTTCTATTAATTAATTTTCTTTCTTTTTTTTTTTTTTTTTTTTCTCATGTTCTATTTAATATGTGTGAAAAAAAAAAGACTATTTTGTTATCTTTAAAAGAAAAATTAATTAATTTTATTTGAAAATAATTTTGTTGTGTGTGTTCTTAACTTTTTCACAACACTGTATATATATATATATATATATATATATATATATATATATATATATATATATATATATATATATATATATATATATATATATATATATATATATATATATATATATATATATATATATATATATATATATATATATATATATATATATATATATATATATTATTCATATATATATATATATATATATATATATATATATATATATATATATATATATATATATATAAATATATATATATATATATATATATATAAATATATATATATATATATATATATATATATATATATATATATATATATATATATATATATATATATATATATATATATATATATTAATATGTTGCAGCACTCCCTTGCGAGTCAGGCTATTTGCCAGTCGATGTAGCAGCACTCCGTTGCGAGTCAGGCAATAAGATAGTCGATGTAGCAACACTCCCTTGTAGCAGCAGGCTAAAAGATAGTCGATGTAGCAACATTTACGCTTGTTTTAAAAATGTTTTTTAATAAAACAAAAAACACCACTAATTAAAAAAATTTTCTAGTCATTATTATTGCGGGTTTTTTTAAAAACAATAAAATCCACGTTAATTTAATTGCTTTGACATTTCGACGACAATAAAATGACAAGGTAAAAAAATTGGAGTCGAAAGAGACTTTTTTTACCATAAAAGTCTTTTTCGACTACACTATAAGGATATATATATATATATATATATATATATATATATATATATAATATATATATATATATATATATATATATATATAATTTTCAAATAAATAACAATTTAAAAAAAAATTTAACAACATCTTTCATTAATATCAAGTGATATCATCTGGTAAAAAAAAAAATATTACAGTTTCTATATATAAACAATTTATTTGGCTGCATTAAAAATTTAATAGTTTTTCAATAGTTACCATAATTACATTTTATAAGATAAATAATTGCCATGAAGAAACTCTATCAATAATAGTAAAAGAGTCATGAATTGTTGAGTTTTTGCATGTAAGATGTTTGTAAATATAGGATGCCTTATCTGAATTTAAATGTTCTGAAACCCTTGTTGTGCAGTGTCTGGTGGTTTCACTAATCGCGAGGTTAGAATTATTTTGTTCTATCTCCACTTTTTGAAAAAAAAATGAGTTATTAATTGTGTAACGTACCTCAAAATAATGTTAAAATCAAAAAAGTTTTGGAGAAAACACAAGTAATAAAAATCTTTTTATATGCCGTCTCCTAAAGTTTTTATTTTTTAAATCGTTTTATCTCGATCAAAAAAATGTGGAGATAGAACAAAATAATTCTAACCTCGCGTAATGAATCCAGCATTACAGCTGGAACAAACAAATTTATAGACAACAAAGGATTTTAAATTTGGGGGTAAGGGGTTTTTTGATGAAAACATACTACTTATTTTAAAAGTTGTAAAAACTAGTTTTGCTTTTATATTATCTTTACAATATTTTACATGGATTTAATTAACTGTGGTTGAAATGTATTTGAAAATTTTCTATTATAAGGGAGTTTAAAGTAATGTATATCAGATGGTTTTGCAGATGACATGTTTTCTTTAGGAGAGATAAAATTGTTTAGTAAACTTTTGAAGGATATATTAATTAAGTTAAGTGAAAAGAGTTTTTATAGAGAGTTTGTTTAATTTTTTCAATATCTAGATGAAAACTTTTTTTTGAACGCCCTGTCAATCAGAGTTTTGATGAGTTCATAATTAATATTATAATTAATTATAATAAATTAATATAATTAATATTAGTGAAGCTTTTCAAATTAGTTTGTAAAACTGTGTATTTTTTTTTGTAAAATGTTGAATTATAATTTAAAATTTATAATTTAGCAAGTTATAGGCTTGTATTAAGCTATATCGTAGAACCAAAGCAAATCGAATAAGTTAATTACTATATAACTCTCTGCCATGTGATTCTTAGTACATAAAACTATAAAGTTCGCCTAATTTATTTTTTTCTTTTTCTTCAACCCGATTTATCATATAAGAAACTAAATTTTCTAACATGCTGACACTTGTTAGTGTGCACTTATTGTTTTGACAAAACCACTGGGGAAGAGGTATCAAATTTCCCTTATGGTACAATTTTATATGCAGATTGTTATCAACATTAATTCTTTCAATGTTAGTTGATGATGTTATATTTTCAATGATAACACAATTATAAATAACGCCACCATATATTTCCTTAAGTAGAAAAATTTTGAGGACAAACTTGTTCTGTCAAATCATTGATTGAACAAATCTTATCTAGTTTGTTGAAAACCACTGTTTCATCTAACAATGAATGAGAAAAAGGTCTTTTTATAGGAGCCTTTCTTAAAGTTATAGGTGCAGGAAGTAAAGATGGCTTTAAAAAACAATCTTTTTTTGTATGAATTGTTGGAATAGGATTCTTTGTAAAGTTTGGTGTATTTCTTTTGCTTTGTTTAATAAATTTTTCTTTGAAATGATCAATACATATTCCAAAAAGTTTAGATGGTTTCCAGTTAATTCTGTTTATAAACTTGATCCACCGGGAGCATAAATCTATATCTGAGGAAAAATTAAATACTGTTATAGGTATAAAATCCTCTACAGTATCGTCATTTTTTTTCTTTTTGTAACCGCTTCTGCAAGCAACTACACAGCACTTTTTAGGCATTTAAAAGAAAAATAAATAATGTAAAAAGATAAAATGAAAGTTTTTTTTATTCTAATAACAATAGTTGTAATTCTTTTGAGAATCAGCTTAAGCAAATAAAGAACTTGACTCAAAACTGGCCTACTAATTATCGAACACGTCCGGCCGTGTATTTAAGTAGGCCATGTGTGTAAAAAACGTTTTTCTGATGAGTCTTTGTTGATGAAACACAGTGTAAAATGAAAAAAAATTTTTGATAAGTGATTTTCTACTAATTTATAATTTCTCTGTTCTTTTAAGAACATTGAGCACTCTATTATGTGGAATACATTTTTTTTAAATTGTATTCCAAATATATATATAAATATATATATATATATATATATATATATATATATATATATATATATATATATATATATATATATATATATATATATATATATATATATATATATATATATATATATATATATATATATATATATATATATATATATATATATATATATATATATATATATATATATATATATATATATATATATATATATATATATATATATATATATATATATATATATATATAGATGTATTATATAAATAAGAAAAACATATATTATATATATTTTATATTTATATAATATATCAAGTAGTCTCTACTTGTAATCCACACTCATGAAATAATACGGTCGTAAAGAAATATCCATTTAATATTTACCTAACTAACTGCATTACACGTTAAGCTATGTATTATTGTTAAATTGTCAAATTCAAAACCTTATAAAAAGGCAACAGATGACCTAATTTATTAGCATGTGTGACTTTACTTGTTTTTATTGGGCTAATAAGTAACTTGTTAAGTCTTTACTTGTTATTTGTTATGTTGTTAAAAAAATTTTAAGTCACGCATGCGTATTTTAGTTCTCATATTGCAATTACGAACGATCGAACTCGTAATATAGACGTTGAATTAACGTGGAATCAACGTCGATTTTATTTGATAGTTTTAAACAAATTTTTCAACGTTGATACAACGTTGATTTTTGGTTATACTACGTCGCGACTAAAAATCAACTGTAAACCAACGTCGAAATAACGTCGTGTGCCCACTGGGTATATATTCCATTATTGAATTTTAGATAATTCTACGAATGCGACTTCAAAGATCTCACGTTTATTCGTACATCTAATTTCAAGCAAAAACATTTATATATTGGACAATGGATTTAACTCTAGAAAACTTTTTTTATAATTGATGACATGTTTTTATAAACATAGACATGTTGGATTGTTAAATGAAATTTCTTTTTGTTAATTGTTTGAAAATATTTATATAAATTGTTTAAAAATAGTTTTTTTTGCTTTATTGCCATATATTAAAATATATTTTAAATATTTAGGAAAGTCGTTGCTTACATTTTTATTTTGGCCTTAAGCAACTAGCTTAAATATCTTAAATAATAATAATTAAATATTAAAAATCTATTAAATAATTATATATTATATAAATATTTAATAATAAAAAATGTATAAGAAGTCAAAAAAGTATCCGTGCAACGAAGTAATAATGCAAAAACATTGAAAGGTTCGATGAAGAACTATAACGGGTTCTTTAAAGAACCTTATTTTAAGGTTCTTCCGAAGAACCTTCGCAAAGGGTTCTTTGAAGAATCTCTACGAGTACACCACCAGCGTCAACGCGAAGAACCCTTAAAGGTTCTTTGAAGAACCATTCGGGTTTAAAGTAGATACGATATAAATGAAATGATTATTATTAGATTAGCAGTCGTGGTACAGTAGTTAGAGCAAACAAAGGTCGTGAGTTCGATCCCTGCTCGAAGAACTTAAACGTTATTGGTGAAGTTGGAAGCGGAGAGCCGTTTTTTATTTATTTTAAGACATTTGCTAATTTAAAAAAAATTAAATCTTGCGAAGCGCTTTAAAATCTATGATTTGTTTACCTGTTAAAAAAAGAATTAAATTTACATAAGTAAAAATTTATACAGACTTCTTTTTTTAAACTCTTTACAATAAATTTGTTTTGTTTTAAATTTTTGAATTTAAAACAAAACAAATTTATTGTAAAGAGTTTAAAAAAAAAAAATTAATTTAAAAATATTATCACTACTTTTACTTTGTAAAACGTAATGGCCAGGAATAAGTTTGCAATGGCCATGTGTCGAATCTCTGGCCATGATTTGGTGTTTTTTTGATATGTAATATTTGTGCTAAAACTAGTTAATTTATTAACAAAAATTTCCAAACTTGTCATAAATTGCATCTCAAGAGGTTTTTTAAGAGTTTAGAAATATTTGTAAGAATCTAAGCCATTCGCGGTAATATATGACGCAGTTTAAAATTAGGCGGCAGGATTTGGTGGTTTTACCCTAAAAAAGTTTATTTAAAATTAGAGACCGTTATTTTAAGCAGTATATAGTGCATTTTTGGTACTTAAATCATTTTTAAACATTGCTCATTGTTAGTTTTGTTTATTGTTATTCTGTATTTTTATTAAATAGCACCATTATTTAAGTGTAAGGTAAATTTAATAAGGCTTCAATGTCATTTAGAAAACTAAATCGTTGAGGATAGTACAAAACCGCGTAACTAGCATTGGATAATTTTCAATATAAACAACTCGTATCTATAGTACATTTTTTTTAATGGAGAAGTTTAAAACTTTATATATTTTTTATTTTAACTGATTTTGGGTTCATTTTATTATAAAGAGCATTATTCTTTTTTTTTTTTGTAATCTTAACAATTAATATTTGGTGTCAAAATTAATAATATCCAAATATAGTAGCCAATGCTAGTTACGTATTTCCGACAAAATATTTTTATCTCGCTTGCTTTTTAAACTTTTATCTACCTTGCCATTAAAAATTCGCTAACAAAAATAATCGTTCCAAATGGGATATGATCTAAACAGAACCAAAACAAAACACATACGAAGCTTAAAATTGTTTAAAAATGTAATCAATACATAGATATCTGAAAAATTTGATGTTATTTTGATTTTGATTTAAAATTTAATTATTATGTAAAATATGCATTGTTTTTTTAAACATTTTAAAATCATACTTATTTCATTTTTTTTGATTTTAAAATTTAAGTTTGTATGATTTTAAAATTTAACATTCAACTAAAATCTTAGATTTAGTTGAGTTTTAATCTTTAATCTATTAACATTTTATGCACCTGTTAGTCATTAATTACCCTCTGCAGTAATGCTAGGAGGTATTATAACATAACTGCAAGGTAAACAGAGTTAAAACTTGTAATGAAACATTTTATAAAACTGTCTTGACTATTAACTAAGCTCTGTGTGACACAACTTAAAGGTTCCTTCTAGAAATGTTAGAATTTTATTTATGGTTAAACACTTCTTGTTATCATAAAAATCATAAAAATTATTACTTTTTTCTATAATTGATTTACCGTCAATTAAATTAATTAATTAATTAAATATTATGTTATATCTAGTAAAGTTTTCAATACAAAAAAGCTCCATAGTTATTCAGGTATATAAAGAATATCTTTCCTTTGAAAAGCGAGTTTTTCAATATAAACAACAAATCAAGAAAAGTAACAATTAATAAAAATTAATTTAATATTTTTATTTATATTATTTTCATATATATATATATATATATATATATATATATATATATATATATATATATATATATATATATATATATATATATATATATATATACTGAATTTTTAAATTTTTAAATAATTTATTATCTTTTATATATTAAATATTTATGTTATAAACCTTTGAATATAATTAATTTATTTGATTGTTGACATAAACCAATCATTGATTTTTCTAAAACTTTTTCTGTATATAATTGGCCATATCTTTTTTTTTTTTTTTTTTTTTTTTTTTTTTTTTTTTTTTTTTTTTTTAACATCTTCACTTCCAACAAGGCTGCAAGCAACCACTATAAGAGTTGGAAGTTACTGGAAGAGAAAAGACTAAATCTGTAGAGCAAGATAACGATTGACTGATGACTTAAAAGATTGCAAATTATATGAATCAGGAAAGCAAGATGAAGGAAGCGAATTCCAAAGAACTGATGTTCGAGGAAAAAAACTAGAAGAATAAGAGTTTTTGAAGCACTTAGGAACAGTCACAGAAAAAGGATGAGACTTAATTGAATGGCGAGTAACACGAGAATGAATTTTAGTAGATGGCACAAGGGACGCTAGCTCTTTAGAGCAGTGCCCATTATAGTATTTGTAGAAAAGAGAAAGAGAAGCAACATTACGACGATGTGACAAGAGTTGGAGATTGGCTGCCAGAGCAGGTCCAACTATGTTTACAATTCGTTTTTGCACCTTGTCTAAAAGAGAAAGAGCGTCATTAGAAGATCCGCCCCAGATGTGGCAATAGTATTCCATTCAGGGACGAATTTGAGATTTATAGAGATAGAGAATAGAATCTGGAGTAAGAAAGTGTTGAGCTCGATAAAGAGATGCAACCTTAGCAGGTGCTAATTTTGCAATGGATTTGATATACGGTTTAAAAGAAAGATCAAAAGTAAGAGTTAATCCTAGAAGATGAATGGTAGATGACTCATCTAGTACATTACCATTCATAAATATAGGAAGATCTAAATTATTACGATAACGATTGGCCAAATAAAATTGAGTTTTATCTGAATTAAAGTTCACCAGCCACTGTGAGCCCCATGCTGTAGCAGAAGTGAGATCCTTTTCAAGCTCAGATACCCCCTCCAAGCAATCAGAGAGTGTAGGCTTCTTATCATGACAAGAGTAAATGGTAGTGTCGTCAGCGAATAATGCCACCTTAGATGTGAGAATATCTGGAAGATCGTTAATGTAAATTAAAAAGAGTATAGGGCCAAGGATTGAACCTTGAGGAACCCCTGAAGTTACAGGATGTGAAGAAGAGTGTTGTCCATCGAGGACAACTTTTATACTACGATTGGAAAGAAAGGACTCAATAATCTTAAAGACGTTACCAGCTACACCATAAGAAGAAAGCTTATGGAGAAGACCAGCATGCCAAACTTTATCAAAAGCTTTAGAAATGTCAAGTGCGATAGCCTTAACCTCTCCGCCTCTATCTAATGCACGGTAAAACCTATCGGTTATTACTGTTAGCACATCAGCTGTAGAACGAGAAGACCGAAATCCATATTGATGATCAGAAAGTAAGTTATTTGATTCAAGATGAGAGATTAAGTGTTTGTTGATTAAAGATTCAAAAACCTTGCTTATGACAGGAAGAAGACTAATGGGACGGTAGTTAGATGAATCAGATCGCTCTCCGAAATTTTTGAAAATAGGGATAACAGATGCTGCTTTCCAGTATGATGGAAAACAAGACTCTGATAAGCACTTGTTAAATAGTTTAGAAAGTATGGATGAAAGCTCCGGAGAACACCTCTGCAAAACTACAACAGGAATGTTGTCAGGACCACAAGCTGTTGAAGAGTCTAAGCAGGAAATTACTTTAGATACAGAAGCTGAAGTGATGCGAATGTCAAGCAAGGGATCAACCTGTTTGACGGCTATGTCAGGTAAAAACGCAACTAGTGGAATCAAGAGATGATATTGATGAAAAGTTTTTAGCAAACAATTCAGCTTTGTCTTTAGGTGAGGTGACAAGGTCTGAACCATACAAGAGAGAAGGAATAACAGATTTGCCCTTATTATTGATATTGTTAAAGATTCTCCAGAAGTCTCGAGAGCCTAATTTTTGTGATGAGATACGAGATTTAATGACCTGGGAATAGCGAGCTTTGGCGTCAGACAAAACCTTTTTACAATGGTTTCTGGCGATAGTGAACAGATGTCTGTTTTCTGGAGAATTGTTTTGCTGATAGATATGGAAGTAACGGTTTCGATTAGAAATTGCTGCAGCGCAATGTGAGGAAAACCAAGGAGAAGAGTGAGGCTTGACCTGGAATCGTCGAGAGGGAATAAAAGATTCCATGCCAGCCTGAATCCACGAAGTTATGTAAGAAGCACATTTGTCAGCAGGAAGACGAAAGATTTCTACCCAAGGGCCATCACGAAAAAAATCACGGAAAGAGTCCCAGTCAGCTTTAAGGTAGTTGTATGTGGTACGATGATAGGGGGATTCTGATGAAGTAGAAGAATTTGATAATAGTTTTAGAGAGATCAAACCGTGATCAGAAGTACCTAAGGGTGAATGTGGAGAAATTGAGCACTGACTAGGATCCAAAACAAGACATAAGTCGAGTAGAGAAGGTAAATGATTAGGGTTGTCTGGATTTTGGTAAATGATTAGGGTTGTCTATCTTTGCAGTCTGATTGTAAAAAAGTCATTTGCTAACATTTTTATTACTTGTGTGGAATGCATGTCTTCAGTGACAGCTTCATGCTCAGCATCGTGATCATTAAGGTCTTCGAAAAAATGTTTTTCACTAATAATTTTATTAACTGCATAAATCATTTTCAGTTTAAGGTTTTGCTCCGCATTAATTTTTGGTTTTTTGAAATCGTCACTGCTAACATAAATTTTGAAAACACTCTCACATACTATTATAGTTTGTATAACATCATTTCTAGGAGCAATAAGCCCGCCCCTAATTTTTATGTTAATCAATGAAAGAGCTGATGTTCTGTAAAAATGTTCCAAAAAATTGTTTTGGGATATAAGTAAGTTTGCACACACAGAACATGTTTTTGATAATAATCTTCTTACAATAAATCCAGATATATATCCTAGTATTGCTTATTTATAGATAGAAGTATTATCAAGATAATTTTGAATTGTAACAATATCAATATCAAAGTTTAAAAAATCTGGATTTAAATAAATTCAGGATTTAAATAAATTGCTGATTTTTTACTCTACTTTAATGCAAAAATAGAGCCATTTGCAATATCCTCAAATGTTAAACAATTTGCATGCTTTGAGCCTACAATAGAATTGCGCAATAGAATTCTTTCTAAAGATGACTTAAGTTGGATGACATCTGGATTATTATTAAATCCATTCATTCCACGAATACAAGAGAACAATAACTCAAGATGATCTTGTGGAAATTTGTATGTTAGGCAAAATTTAAAAGGATGAACATTTAAAGTCAAAAGCTCATAGGCTAAGTGTTTAAGGCTTTTTGCAGCCACAACTAACCCTAATACAAAAGTTTTTCTCCTATGTTTTAATAATGGAGTACCATTAGCATCTGTCGACTTTGATAAGTAGTTTATTATTTGATCAAAAGTTGAATTCCAATAAGGATAATCATTTAAATAAGAGCTTTCTTAAATGATTTTGAAAAAAGATTTTTAGAGTTCAGAATAACAAACAATTTGTCAATGACCCTTATAAAAATTTATGGTTCCTTCAGCATGCTTGAAATTTGGATGTTTGGAAAACATCAGAAATTCAATTGCATCTGCAACTGAACTACTAAGTGTTTGTGCAGCAAACTTAACATTCATTTTGTGACGCTGGAAGTAAATCTTCCAATAATTTTTCTAATCTTTTCCCAAATGTACATCCTAGTGATTCAACAGAATTAAAGTTAACATTTGTACCATCAAATGTAATGCTACGTACATTAATTTTTTTCTCAGAATAAATTGTTAATAATTTTTTAATAAGACATGAAAGGGGTTCAGCTGTTATTTTACTACACAGTATATAGCCAATAGGTGTTATCCAATGACCTCGTAATCCTACCACCATAAATACCAATGCTTCTGTAGCTGGTGTATCTGGTTCAATTGCAACAACATCTTTTCCGTAATCTGTAAAGCCAATGAATCGATTCTTTTTATAATTTAGAACTGATGTTTTGATTGCCATTGTATCTATAATTAATGGACAATTTTTATAATTAATGCAGTCTCTGCTTTTATATTAATATAACTTAAAACATCTTCAAAAAAACCAGGTTTACAATCTACAGAAGAAGTCCAGTTGGCTAAAGAGCTTGAAGCAGGTAAATGAAGTATAGGTCATAGAAATTTGTATGCTTTAGGTGAGTAAAAATGCAGAGTTATTAAAAAAAATTTATTTCATCAGTATACCTATGCCCTTTTGGAAGTGAAGTATTGTTTTTAAACTGATTTTTTATAATATCAAAAGTCAACCCACTAAAGTTTTTACAAAGAATATTAGCAGCATCTTCAGAAACATTTTTTTTTTGCTTAGATTTTTTAGCATAACCTTTAATGAATTTTTTTTTTTTCTTTTTGTCGCAACTTTGGTTTAAGAATTTTAATTTTTGCTTTTAATTTTACTTTAGTTGGACTTGCATTTGTCGATAATGTATTTTTAGAAATAATGGTATCATCATTAATAATTTTGTTACTACTTTTGATAATATTTAAGGTACTATTTATATCCACCTGGCAATCAATACTCTCTGTTGTTTCTGAAATAACACTATTAATATAAATTTCGTTTCTATTAGCAGCAACATTATTGTTATCACTTATATCCGACTGGAAATCGATGTGATGGTGACTGCCTGTTTCCGAAACTTTTTTAACGAGTCTCTTTTTATTTGTTTGTGGCGATATAGAATTAAACTTTCTTTGAGTTTTGGTTTGGAATCAATAAAAATAGATGACACAGCAAAAGGTTTTAATTTAGGTTTGTTATTAAAATCAGGTATATTGTAATCTGAAGGTAAAAAGTGATCACTACATATGCGGCTGTACTCAGTAGGAATAAATGTTTCACGTTTTATAGCAACAATCAACTTTTTACAGAGTTCTCTATTGTTAATTGGAAATTTATAAAATGCTCTGTTGTCGTTTATCATTGCTCTATTTGTGCAACCTGGCGCAGCACAAGAATTAACCATGATTTATAAATTATGAATATTAATAAATATCGAATATTATTTGATTCAAACAACCGTGATTTACTATTTTTTAAATTTGCCCGATTAATCGGCCATTATGGCCGATTTTTTGAAGAAAAAATCGACCATAATGGCCGATTTTTTCTTCAAAAAATACGCGGAAGTTAGACATCTAGTTATTTTTAATATATCATTGGCCATTACAATGATATATTAAAAATACAATTCACAAAATTACAATTTCTTGAAATCTCCAATTCATTTGGTAGATCACAATATACTCTCGAGTGCCTAATACAAGAGGGGGTTAAATAATAGAGGGCGGGGGGGGGATTTTAGTTTAGATCTAATAAACAAGGGGAAGGGGAATTTTTTATGGTACAATATAAGAACTTTTTACAAAAAAAGTTTAGTTTATAAATCCGAACTAATATTTTTTACAAAAAAAAGTTTCATTTTTGACAAACCGAGATTTACTAGGTCGGCGATTTTTGAACCCTGTTAACACTGAAAGTTTTTGTTTTTATCAGTGACTGAAACAATTGTTTTCTAATTTTTATGGCCAATTTTCATTGATTTTTCTTTTTTTAGTTTTGAGATAAAAAGTTTTTTCCGTCAACAAGTAAAAATTAATTAACGGGGGGTCTTAATAAGGTGGGAAATTTTTCCAAAAATTATTAAACGCCCCCCCCCCCTTCCTTTTGTTAAGGACTCGAGAGTACACTAGGTATTTTCTTTGGCCTATCAAAACCGCTCGACACAATCGATCACAAAGCTCTACTTAAAAAACTCAAATTTTACGGAATTAATGGCAAATTAATAAAATGGTATAAAAGTTACTTGACGAATAGAAAACAATTTGTTTTTAGTCTATATAATAAATGATTTAAATAAAGTTTCTAACCTTGCGAGTATCATGTTTGCGGACGATACAAATTTATTTCTGTCAAACAATGACATTTATGAGCTTTTTTCAAATATGAATAAAGAACTCAATCACATTTTTAACTGGTATAAGTGCGACAAGTTAACTTTAAACATTGATAAAACAAAATAGATCCTTTTCCACTCCCTTGCAAAAAAACATTTTTTACTAAGTAATTTATCTAAACTTTTTATTGATAAAATTGAAATTAAAAAGAAGTCGTTGACATAATTTTCAGGCATTTACATTGATGAAAATATTACATGGAAGTGTCCTATCGACTTTATTTCTACTAAATTGGCCAAAAGTATTGGAATTGTATATAAGGTTAGATACTATTTAAGTAAACAAAATTTAATTCAACTATACTACTCATTTATTCATAGCTATATAAATTATGCAAATATTGTTTGGGGAAGTAAGGTACGAAATCTCTACCATCGTCAGAAACACGCAATGCGTTTAATTTGTTTAGAAAATCGTTTTTCTCATTCAAATATTTTATTTAAAAACGTTAAAGCACATAACGTTTACGAACTCAATGTCTATAATATTTTATGTTTTATGTTTCGTTGTAAAGTGAACAACCATTTTTCATTTGAAAATTTGAAAGATCTTTTTACCCATAAAGCTATAAACAAATATACTTTACGAAATAATAATTTATTAATGAACCTTTTGTCAAACAAAGTTTAATCAATTTTGTATAAACTTTTAAGCACTGTATTTATGGAACAAAATTTTTAAAACTAAATTAAAAACTAACTTTCTACTGGCAATATATATATATAAATATTTTTGAAATGTAAAATTATTTTCACTCTGGATAATTTGTAAAATCATTTTCAGTCTTTGTTTATTATACCTTTGTTAATAGTTATTAAATCAATTGTATTTTTGTTTTATTATATATACACGTTTGATATATTTTATATGGTTCTGGCGACAAGATCTTTCGAATTTTCTTTCAGATACCAAGTTTATATATAGTTTATATATTGTATTACAATTAATAATTTTCAACTAAAAAAAAAAATACTTTATATTCTCGTCTGTAGTTATCGGTAAATTTATTATCTTATCATTTGCGTCATTCGTAACAGAACTGTTTGGGGGAATATTTCAAATTAAAAAAAATGTTTTTTTACAAAAACGTTCAACATTATTTTTGAAATCTATATTTTTCTTATGTATGGTTATTAATATGAATGTTGTTAGATTTATACTATTACATGTAATCTTAAATGTTATATCTATTATTATTTATAATAATATGTATCATATAATAAATTATATAATATATGTTATTTTAATGTATTTTTATATAAATCTTTGTTAAATACAACGTATAGACAAATTTATTTTTAATGTTTGATTCTTTATTTATGCTGTTAGTTATCAATTTAAGAATTGAACAAAAGTTACATATCGAGTTGAAACATGTAACTTTTGTTAAACATGTAAAAAAACATATAAGAGTATATATAAATAGTTTATTTTTTTGAATTTGTGGATTTGTCTTACAACAACAATGTATATTATTGATTCAACAAAATGTTTAATTGATACATATATAGAGAGAAAGAGACAATTCACCCTTAGTTGTAAAAAATAACATATTGCTTATTAATAAAACACAAAACATTCGATATTATATTGGTTGTTACCTAACGCCAAATAAACGCTTTAAACAAAGTTTGTATAATCTTAAATTATAAAATTTTTGGTATGCATAAGTTATAAACACAACAACCAATCAAATCTAACTAAAACTATTGACTTTTTTTTTTATAAAAAACTAGCTTTTCGCCTTACTATACTTCAGAGGTTTTTGTAGATCTAACTATGTAACACGTTCGCAACAACCAATGTTTATTTTAGACTTTATTTAAATGCTTTTTAATTATCTTTTATATTACATTTAAACTCCATTTGGTTTTTTTTTAACCACATTTTATTTTTGAAGGTTTATTTGACGTTTTTGTTATTTGTTATTTTACAATTGAACGTCAATCAAACATAAAAACCACGTGATATTTTTTAAGTTTTTATGTAAAAAATATTTTCCTAAAGAAATTACATTTGACTATAATTAGGCTTTTCGAAATTTTATAGAAAGCTTTTTTTAATCACTGAATAAAATCAGCTATTTTTATTTTACGCTCTTCGTATTGTTGTATGATTTTTGTGTGATGGAAAATTTCATGAGAGTAAAATGTTTGTTTAACAATTAATTAAATTTTTTTTTAGCATGATGGAAGACTTCAGAAGAGTAAATTGTTTGGCTATAGATAGTAGTATATCAAGTAAAAATGCCTTTGAATGGTACGTAAACAACTTTCACGGCGATGGGGATTCTTTAGTTATAATGCATGTTCGCGAAGTTTTAAAGAAACCACTAATAGGACCAATGGGTGTAATGGGCGGCCAAGATCTATTTGATATTTATCAAGAAACAGTAGAATATAGTCTTAGGTGTGCGAATGATTTGCTTAAATACTATACATCAATTTGTGAAGAAAAAAAAATTGAATGCGAGTCTGCAATTGTGGATGATTACCACGGCACTGGATATGAAATTTGTGAACTAGTTGAAAAATACATGGGTACTAGTGTAATTTTAGGGCGTAAAAGTCCTGGAATTATTCATCGATTTATACTCGGTAGTACTAGTGATTATGTTTTACATCATTCACGTGTTCCTGTGATTGTAGTTCCAGCTGATAAAAAACATCCTTAAAAAGCAATTAAAAGTTCTTCATGATTTTTACTTTTTACATTTAATAATTGAAAAGTTTTAAGTCGTTGTTGTAGAATAAGTCATTGTTTAACTGTTTTATTTTAATATTCTTTAAAAAAAAATTAAACTGAATCGTTAAAAAATTCTTTTGAAAAAATTGTTGATAGTTTAATTATTTTTTTATGTAGCAAATATGTGTTATTGGGATATGGGGTATAGATGTGGGGTGTAGATATGGGTTGGAGTGATTAGGTGGGTTGTTTTTCTGTTGTTCAAAGTTTCAAAGTTTTATAGATTTTTTTTTCCTACCTGATTACCAAATATCAAAAAAAAAAAGGTTTGCTAAGGAAAATTACGCAATATTTTTTCATTTAAGTTTGTTTCATTTAAGTCAATGCATTTTGTTTAATTTAAAATAATAAAAACTAGAAATAAAAAAATTATTTGGTATTCGGCTTACTCAGCTACTTTTTTTGCTATTCGGTATTCGGCCGAGTATTGCAAACTATTCGGCCAAATACCGAATACCAGATTGTAACAAGCCTAAAAACGAATTACAGTTATTTGTACTTTAAAATGTATGCGTACTTTAAAATGCTGGTATTTGAACTTTGTTATCATATATTTTCAAATCAATTGGATTAAAGTTTACATTATACAAGAAAGTAACCAAGGCATAAAAGAATATAATTTAAAACATAAATCTATTCAATGTCATGTATACTCTGACAACTGGTGATGTTCTGTATTTTTTCAAAATATTAGAACACATATTTAAACTTAAAATATAAAATTCAGATTTAATACATAAATTTAAGTTATAAAGACTTTATATGGAAATGATCAGTTTTACAAGGGCTAAAGTTACAGCTTAAATTTAAGATTTAAATCGTATTGCTGTTCTAATAATGATCAACAACACTAGATCTACGTTTTAAGGTGCACAATTGTTTTCTAAAACCTCTAAAATACTATCTTCATCGTCAATATTAATTTTTCGACTTATTTATCAAATAAAAAATAAATATTAAATTAACAAATAAAACACAACTTTAATTAGAAAAAGAAATAAAATGTTCATAAAAATATCAAGGGTTGATATTGATGATCGATTCAGAGGCTTTTATCTTTAACGGTTTAATACCAATAACTTTGCAGGATTGCTTGCTACAAACTGACTTTAAAACATCTTTGCAGATCAAGCACTGGCTGTAGCCAAATACACAACACCTTCCCTTACATTGACATTGATCTTTGCATTTTATAAATTCTTCTTTTATTATTTTAAGATTTTTTTTATTCACCTGCTTCTTCTCATCTTTTTTCTTTTTTTCGTTTTCTTTTTCAGTTACCGCTTCTAAGACCTTATTCTTCTCCATTAATCCATGTTGTTGAGTTACTTTTATGGTTTTTTAGTAGTAGTAGAGTAGTAGTAGAAAAATTGCTGCAACAGGTTTCTCTGTATAGCCTACAGGTTTTGGCAACCTTATCTACTTTATACTCTAATTTTATTCATATCAATATATAAAAATTTACAATAAGATATATAGTATGAAGTATAAGTTTGTACTTTATTGTTTTTCTTTTTTTTAGTTATAATCACAATACTTATGCGGATTATTTGAAATTTTTGCATCAAGCTGAGCCTTGAAACTGTTAACTGATGAAGCGCATACAACTTCTGACGGCAATGCATTCCAATGATTCACTATTCGATTAGTAAAAAACTGGTGCCTTTGCTCGCAATTTTGAACATATTCTCTAGTTATTTTTAGATGATGTCCTTTAGTTTTTATTTTATTTGACTCCCCAACATGAAGGACATGGGGTTCACTCCATGAGACAATGTCTATATTGTTAATAATTTTATTGGCTTGTATCAGATCTCCCCTAATGCGACGGAATTCTAAAGGCGTTATGTTTAATATATTCAGACAATTTTTGTATAACATATGACGGTACGAAGGTATTAAACGGGTTTCTCTTCTTTGTACTTTCTCGATTTTGTCAATATCTATTCTTGATGATGGATTGCTGGCTGTTACCGCAAATTCCTGGTGAGGTCGTTCAAAGGTTGTATATAGAATTTTAAGTAGTTGCGGAGTCATGTGACTGAAAGTACGATCCAACATGCCTAATACACGGTTAGCTTTATTGGTTGTAAAAGTTGAATTGTTATGCCATTTTAAGTCTGGTGTAATCATGATGCCTAAATCACGTTTTACTAAAGTCGATGCTAGTTCGACACTGATATTTTTATTAGCTGGCATTAAGTAGACATAAAAGTTTTTTTTTTACCAATGTGCACGATTTTACATATATCGAGATTAAGTTTCATTTTCCAGGTTTTACACCAATCGGCTATGTTGTAGATATCAGTTTGAAGCATTTGTGAAGCTAATGGGTGGTTTAAACGGGCCAGCAGTTTAGTGTCATCAGCATACATTTTACATGGATGGTTAACAATATCGGATATATCGTTCACAGAAATGATAAAAAGTGTTGGACCTAATACGGATCCTTGAAGGACGCCACTAAATACCTCAAGCCACAAAGAAACATAATCGCCCATCACGATTCGTTGAAAACGCTGGTGTAAAAACGATTTTATCCAATTCAGAAAATTTCCAGTAAAACCATATGCCTCAAGTTTGTAAATTAGTCTCTCGTGGGGAACCATATCGAATGCTTTACTGAAATCTATAAAAGCTACGTCCATAGATATCTTGTCAGATAATGCTTTTGACATTATGTCAATTGACAAATTAGTCACACAAGCTTTTTTATTGACAAAACCATGTTGATTTTTTGAAATAAGGCTATGTTCGACTAAATGATTGACCATAGTGTCACGTAATACTTTCTCCATCACTTTACATACAACTAATGTTAAGGATTGTCTTTATTTTTGTTGAAAACACTTTGAAAGTGATTGTTGAGCCGATTTGCAATTTCTATTGGATTTGTGATAGTGTCGCCATTGATTCCTTTTAATGCTGTTATTGTAGTTCTAAGATTTTATTTGCTATTAACATACTTGAACAGGATCTTTGGGTTGTGCTTCAATTTTATTGCTAAATCAAGTTCAAACTCACAACGAGCTTTATATATGAGCTTCTTCAGTTGAATATTACACGTTTTGTATTCATTGACTAGTGTAAGATTTTTATATCCATTCGCTCTACATCAAAACCATAGTATATTTTAGCTTTTATTTTATGCTTGATGTCATCATTCATCCATTCGCTTCTACGACGAATCCATTTTGAGTTAGTCACTGGGACATAAGTTTTGCATGCATCCTCGTGGTGGTTCAGGAAAATGTTATAACAGTTACCAGTATTGCGTCCATTGAATTCCATCGGCCAGTTGATATTGTTAAAATATTCGGATATCTTTACAAAGTTACTTTTATGATAAATGCGTTTTTCAAGGGAATCTAATAAAACAATTTTGCTTACTTCATTAGGTTTTAATGAAGTGTCGAGATAAATAGCCACCCCACCTCCTCTACTGGACACGCAATCTTTTCTGAATAACATATTGTTTTCAATGTTAGTTATCGATGATTCATGCCACCAAGTTTCTGTAACGAAAATTATTTTAGGGTTGTATGTCTCAATTGTTGCTAGAAACTCTGGCATTTTATTGTTAAGGGATGTAGCATTGGTATAACAGCATGGTATTTTATGGAACGCTAACTGTTGTAGTAGACTAATAGTTAAAAATGACTTACGTTATTTCGTTTATATTTAAATTATCATTATATGGTTTTAAATTACTTACAGTTGATTGCTATTTGTCTACTTTAACTACAGCATTATTACGAATAACGTAGTAATAACTTGCCTTTGCCCAGTTATTTTTTAAATTAAGAGGCTCGTTTTTCTTTTTCAACTCGTCTTGTAATTGCTTATCTTGTCTTATTTGTGCTTCTGTCAGATCTGGATTAACATAGATGGCTTCAAATTTACGCCTGGCTGCTTTAACGATATTATTTCTGGTGACAGTGTCGGTCGTCTCAACTATAATAGGTGGAGGTTTATTAGGATCTTTTGGCCGTAAGCAAAAACATTTTATTTTTAATAGCACTTCTACTTGCTTTAGAAGCGTCTCCTACTTGTTATTCAACTCAGAAATGTCGGCTTTTGGAGGCATTTAGCGTGAATATGTATAAACAGCAGTATATATAGTTTATATAATATTATATATATATATAGACATATAATAATATATTTGTATTTTTATTACAAATATAAATTTCATATAATTTATATAAATTTTTTATAAATAACTTTTTTTTTAATTTTTTACAATACAATAAATGCAATAGTTTCTCTATACGAACAATTTTTAATCTGGACTTTTTGTAGAGAGCATCGGGGCCTGAGAAGAATAAATTATTTCTATACATCTTGGTGCTTGTTCAAATTTATCATTTTGCATCCAGTTAACATGACCACGAAAGTGGTTGTCTTGCAAAGTCAGTTATACCTGACTTTGCAATACAACCATTTTTGTTTTTTGGTTAAAGATTCTTTTGTTGTCCATGATGACCATATTTCTTCTAATATTTGCATAAACCCAGAAACGTCAACTCTATGGGGTGCTTTGCCATAAATCTTGATAGAAAAGAACGCGATAGTTTATTTGTAAGTGTTGTTTTTCTGCATTAGGTGAAAGCTTGCATTAACAACGACGATTTTTCAGGTTTTTATTAGAATGCATACAATATTTTATTACACTTAAAAGAACTGTGGACAGTTCTTTTAAGTAATACATTGTTGACATCTGCTTTTATTTTTTGCATACAATACTACTGCATTCACCTCATCCTTTGTCAAAATTGAAAGATGGTTTTTATTTTCATCAATTTTAGCACCATCTAAAATGCGATTTATAGCTCTAGGATTAACATTAAAACCACCTTGTTTAACAGATTTGTAGCCTCAACAAATGTTTTTTTTTTACAATAATCCACAGCATTTGCTAAAATTTTTTTGTTCAATTTTATTTTGTCTCTGCAAAAAGCTGCTTGATATTTTGTTTAAGATCTTAAACTAAGATTGAAAATTGGTCTCATTTTAATATAGGGTAGAGCGTAGAGCGGGGCATATCGGGACAGTG